ATTCTTTTGGTGATTAATTTTTACTTTCTCGTATATACGTAGTATAGAGAAAGTATTGTAATCGTGCAAAAAAAAAAAATCGAGATTTTTACAAATCTCGACGTTTTACACCTCACTGATACGGAAAAACATAATTTTGCAATCTTGTCCGTATGTCTGTGTGTGTGTGTGTCTGTCTGTCTGTCTGTCTGTCCGTGTGTAAACACGATAACTTGAGTACCGTTACAGCTAGGTTGATGAAATTTCATATATAAGTATTTTATCAAAATCGTAGATCCGTATCAACTTTTGAGCGATTTCCGATAACCGGAAGTGGTACTTTTCCTACTTTGAATTTTTTAAAAGCCTATAACTTGAGTACTATTTCAGATAGATAAATGAAATTTCACATGTAAGTAAAAGATCTAATTCTCTACCTTCTGTTAAATTTTGAGTAATTTCCGTTGACTGGAAGTAGTAATTTACGCTACTTCCGATTTCTCAAAAAACTAATGTAAATTTTAAAAGTACTAATAATATTGCGCACTATTATGCGCTTTTTTTATTTGCGTTCACTTGGTGTGCAATTAATTTGTCTACGAGATTTTATTCTATTTTTAAAACTTTAAGTATTTAAAATGGATTAAAAATCATGTCTATAGCCCGAGTTTCCATCCCCTGTTATTTTATATAAGAATATTCGAGAAAGTTTAGGGGAGATCACTCCCGGTTTATTACCTATGCAGTACAAACATAGTATACATCCATTAAAATAATATATTAATTTTCGAATAATATCTAATACGTTCGTATGTCATTTAATAGATTAGTTACAATATAAAAATACAACTAAATTACTTTTGCATTTAAAATCGTAGGATTCATTTAAAGATGTTAAATATCTTGTTATATACGTTGCGACTAATCTGCGATCATTGTTACAATATGTTTCACTTTAGTATTAAGATGTATTTATATTTTTATGAAAGTCCACCATTTGTTTATACATAACTAAACGCATCAGTAAGCAATAGTAATTAGTTTTTGGTAAATACAAATCCTCGAACGGACTGTAGCAGTATTGTTGTTTTAAAATGTGTGAAGTTGAAAAGCACATGTCTTAAGAATAACTAAGCATACAAATTATTGTTTACGCTTCGTACTAAATAGTATAATATGCTTACATATAAATACGCCGATAATCAAAGAATGCTAAAAGTGGACGGTCATTATCATGTGTTGGCAAATGAGTACGCTTTTAATTTGTTTTATTACTGTCTTACGCTTTTATTTATTGTTATATAAAACAAGAGTAGCATATACGTAATAATTTAGTAAAATAATTTAAAATGATGTTTCGTAGATCAGTTATGTAAGTGTTATAAAAAAAGCTCCTATTCACAAGCTGCTGCCACTTGTTCGTGGTGTTTCTATTCCACGAACACTTACACTAGTTAATCCGGTTATTCGTATCTCACATTTTGCTCGTATATCAAAGCACATTTTAGCTTGCTTAACAGCTTGTATCACAACACTCTCTTATATTGGGGCATCACAGTATGAAAAAAAAGTCTACACTTTAATAAACAATTCTACGACTAGTTAGTTCAATGACATTATACTAGGTGAAAATGTAGATTATTAAACTATTGAAATCACGTAAGAGTAAAATAGTTTAACTGTATAAAGAAAAAATGGTATCATAAAAATGTGTTCATTTTCCAACGAATGTTGTTCATAAACATTGTTTTCGATCACACTTTGGGTTTTGTTCTAAACTTGTTATAAATAAGCTTGGTAGAACAAGATTTAAAAACATAACATAAAGAAGGCATATTGAAAATTATGTAAGCATTTCAATGCTGATCATTAATTAGAAACATTATGTATGCGATCTGTTGGAATAGCAAATAATATATTTTGCCTAAATTGACTTAATTCTAATTAATGTGTCTCATTTCAAATATAAATAAACATTCCACTGAAAAGCTCAATTTTTAACTAAGATAATACAGTCAGTTTTTATGAAACAAATGTGCTATCACCGATCCACTTTATCCATAAAAGAAATGCAATGGTTGTAAACTGTATAATCGTGAAGATCCCAGAGTCGATATATAGAATGATTAAATCACGGTAAGGCAGTTGATGTAACCTCCATAGTTTTATCACAGAGTTTATCTAATGAATGATATTGAGAACATTATTACAAATTGATGTATGCTTTGGCAGGGTCTCCAAACTTTTCAGTCAGTGGGCCGCATTAACTCTCGAATTTCAGTTGGGGAGGGGGGGAGGCAGTTTCTTCCAGGCATGTCTTTGATTTTTTCTTCAGCCATCATCAACAAACGTTTTTTCCTTGGACAAAAAGATATCAGCGGGCCGGATGAGAGGACATTGCGGGCCGCATACGGCCCGCGGGCCGTAGTTTGGAGCCCTGTTCTAGAGTATCAGTCGGTAGTAATTGGTCAAACAAGTGAAGAGGAACAGATACTAGATGGAATACTTGAGGTTAGTCATGAGATCAAGAAAGTCTAACACAGTAGTCACGATCTTGTTATTTTGTATTCGGGTATTAGAAAAGTTAACAAAAGTTAAAAGTATTGTAGCTTTAGCTTTAGGAGCTTGCTATTCATCAATACTTGCACATGTAAAATGTAAAAGTGCTCTATTTGGCGGTAAAAATGTATCAGCAACAACAAAAGAGATGGAGAAAATGTTATATCTAACCCAGACCAATGCTGTTTTGTAACGACGGAAATTATGAAGAGTGGATGAAAGAAAGAAAACAATAAACTATCAAGTGATGATTGTGAGATTATTTTTTGTTTCTTTAACGAACTAAATGCAAATGTAAAAAAAATCTCATAAACAGCTTTAATTAAAAACATGGGGTAGATGATTTTAGCAATATCACATATTTGCTTGGGCTTGAGTTTACTTAAGGCAAATTGAAAATAGGCCTACTGTGTCTATATCAAACTGTGCATAACAATTTCCATTTTTTTTTCTCCGATTGGGGGGGGGGGGATGGATAAAGAGAGACGGGGGGGGAGCGGAATGTGTTAAAAGTATAAACTTTATGTATAAATTCTATAACATGTTTAGGGGGTGGGGGTGGTGGTTGACGCCCCTGCAATTCCCCATCCCCATTCCCACCCCGCCCCCTTGGAGATTGCTGAAATAAATATGACTCTGTTGCAGAGTTTCTTCCAGGCATCTCTTCGGGGGGGCTAAGCCCCCCCCCCCCCCCCCGAAAATTTTTTTACCGCCCCCCCCCCCCGAACGAAATGAAATTTATATAATCTATATAGAAAATATATACTTTTAACAGTGTCCGCCCCCCCGAAGAAAGTTTACCGCCCCCCCCCCCCCCGAAAATTTCAAGTGCCCCCCGGAGAAAAAAGTCTGGAAGAAACACTGCTCTGTTGTAACAACTAAAGACAAAAGTAGACGAACTAGAATATATAGACTGGAGAGAACATCTTTAAATTCATCTACCCAATCTTTCAATACCACTCTATACAATTGTTATTGTAAAATATTACAGGTGAGTCGTTGTTCTCTGCTTAATACATATTGGAAGTTCTAAACCGTACGAGTGCTGTTTAAGCTTTATACTTTCATTATTTGTCTCGTATTCAAGTTGGAAAATATTAGCTTGATATAGAATCAAATATTTGTAAATTAGCATAAATTCTATTTTAAAAGAATATCACTGCTTTTTTATTGTTTGAATATCTGTTTATAATATCAATGTTAATATTCCCAAAAATCTATGTCTACACCAGGGTCAATGTAAACCAAGATTAAACTACACATAGGTCGAGCAGCACAGACATGAGTACACCCTACAGTCCTGACAATCATCTGATACATTTCTATACAAAAGTTGTCCTGTTTGTCTATAGATTGTTTGGTCTTAGCACTATGCCCAGCCACCTTTGTTCATATGTTAGTTACCCAGTATTTTGGGACGTTACACTGATTTTAAACCGGGTTTAAACTCAAGACTCTACCGCTAGGCCACACCGTCACATCTGGTTCTGTCATACATTTAATTTGTAAACAACAAATCAAAAATTAATACGAACATTTTAACGATCGTCGTTAAAAGAAAATGTGTGGCCCTCATGTACAACCCATTAATCCATCACTGTCAATAAATCATGTGTTTATTATTTCTTTTTCTATATTTATGAGATAAACCTAGTCGTATCAATACCGCTCCAACACGGAGCCAAGTTTAGATTTTAATTCAAATTAATTAATTACATAAAAAACGTCACTTACCGACCTGTCATTTCAAACAACTAGGCCTAACATTCAAAAACAAATTAATTCTCGCGTTATGTTGTGATTTCGTACGATGCAATTAGCCGGACCAGTAGGTATATTGATTTTTAAAATTATATTAGGTTCAGAGCGTTATAGACTTCGTCTATCACTAGCGGGTCCTTGTTTGGTTAGCTATTAGACGGATTGTTTATAAAGGCACTTGTTGAAGTAAAACACGTTTTTTCTAGCCATTAGAGAGGATGGGGCGTTGGGGAGTGTTTTCATTAAGAAAAAATTATGTGAGTGGTTTTTATTTGGTAAATAATATGGGTTGTCATTTAAACATTCAATAGGTCACTTTATTCACATAAAACAGAAGTCTGTCAAAAAATTAAATTTATATGCAGGAGCTAATGTAAAGACTTCTTAATATCCCCCTCACCCCCGCCCCCGTTAATTTCACAGCCTTAAAGATTAATATCTCAAATATTGCATCTACGGACTTTTAATATACCTACAAATATAATTATCTAAAACACACTTCTAATAACATACGCCATATTGTTGTAGATTTTATCGTAATGAAATGAATGGATAAATATGTTATTTGGGCAATTATCTAGATATGCACGCCATTATTGGATCGGCATGGTCGAGGTTGGAAAGTGGATGGCTGCCAACACGACAATTACCTAGTTCAAATCTTTTGACAGATGATGCTAATGTACTTTGCTAACCAGGCATTTAGTCGAATTTCCCATTCATCCATCAGAATATCGGTCTATTTTTGTATGTATACGTTCACATTTAAATACAAGACTAGTTTTGATAATGTAGTAGAATGCGTGCGCTCGTATATACATGCCATTTTCGTTTTTTTTTCAATATTGAAACTTTTTTTCTCAGTAGGGTATTTTTCCTGTAACCTTATGTAGTCAGATTAGAAAGTAGTGGTACAGCTTATTTTCAATCATGATGGTCTATGGGGCAAGTGAAGTAGAGGTCAACTGATTATGTGACTTCGGCAAAGGAAGAGACAGATTTGTCACCATTATGCCATGCCGCCTTTATTTTTATAGACAGACAGAGATACAGAGATACAGAGAGACAGAGAGACAGAGAGACAGACAGACAGACAGACAGACAGACAGACAGACAGAGAGACAGACAGACAGACAGACAGACAGACAGACAGACAGACAGACAGACAGAGAGACAGACAGACAGACAGACAGACAGACAGACAGACAGACAGACAGACAGACAGACAGACAGACAGACAGACAGACAGACAGACAGACAGACAGACAGACAGACAGACAGACAGACAGACAGACAGACAGACAGACAGACAGACAGACAGGCAGGCAGACAGGCAGGCAGGCAGGCAGGCAGGCAGGCAGGCAGGCAGGCAGGCAGGCAGGCAGGCAGGCAGGCAGGCAGGCAGGCAGGCAGGCAGGCAGGCAGGCAGGCAGGCAGGCAGGCAGGCAGGCAGGCAGGCAGGCAGGCAGGCAGGCAGGCAGGCAGGCAGGCAGGCAGGCAGGCAGGCAGGCAGACAGACAGACAGACAGACAGACAGACAGACAGACAGACAGACAGACAGACAGACAGACAGACAGACAGACAGACAGACAGACAGACAGACAGACAGACAGACAGACAGACAGACAGACAGACAGACAGACAGACAGACAGACAGACAGACAGACAGACAGACAGACAGACAGACAGACAGACAGACAGACAGACAGACAGACAGACAGACAGACAGACAGACAGACAGACAGACAGACAGACAGACAGACAGACAGACAGACAGACAGACAGATAGATAGATAGATAGACAGAACAGGCAGAACAGACATAACAGAAAGGACAGACATGGGACTTACTAAAGGGTGGATGTATGGACAGGAGGACACGGAAGAACGGACTGACAGACAGACATATAGTCCAGACATTCAGATAAAACATGCAGACAGAAAGGTAGACAGACTAACATGAACAGAATACAGACTGACAGTCGTATTAACGAACACAAGACAGATATACAGTAAGGTAGACGGGCATACGGGCAGAGATACGGTTAAAATAACTGGCAGTTGGACAGACTAAAAGACCGATAGACGGACAGACACACATATATTGAGCATTACATAATAGCTTATTACATAAGCCCTATTTTTCTATTTACTTACTTATTCGATTATCATTTGCACAAACTCCTCCCAAGCTGTCACGTCAAAAAACTGGTATAAACAGCAGTCCAATCAGGAAAGCTTATTGATTGTATATTTTCCTATATTAACTTATGTTTTATTTATTTCTGCATTCTAGATCTGCAAAAAGTGTTGAGGTATGTTAATGTTAGTCAACTTAGGTAATGGCAATTTGTTTATAAAACGTTAACTACTGCTTTATTTTGTTTATTTTATTAAGACTACTTATCTTGTTGTATAACTGAAATAAGAAAAGTAGAAATTTAAATTACAAGCAATTATTTTATTTCTGTATAGGCCTAGATTGTTCGTATTACTAGAATTAGGATAAGCTAAATAATCAATTAATTGTTTTATTAGGGTAAAAATTGAGTAAGACTAAAAGCGTTAAAGTTTTAGCCCCAGCTTAAATAATGATTGTAGTATAATTTTAAAACATCTTATTGGACACGGTCTTCAAGACATTACACGATACAAAGCATATAAAGGCCAAACTGGGTGTTATAGAAAAGCAATATCGATTCAAAATCTATTTTCATGTCAGTTTTCTTAGAAATAAAGTCATGCTAAAGATATTCCAGCCCAACCGTAATCTGCACTATAAACAAACTTCAATTTATTTTTGAAAATATGTTTTACTTATATATGTAATATTCCTCATTTCAAATATGGCAATATTATGTATAATAAAGTCATTATTTTTTCCGTTTTTTTTTTTAAATTCATGAACAGCGTTCTTTCAGGAATGGGCATCTGTATTGCATTCAAAGTACTCGCTGCGCTAGTTTTTGTTGCTGGTGTGGAACCATATTGTCGAGATGTAGACTGGAGCGTTTCCTTTAAGAGGGCTGGACTGTCAGAGTGTGATCGATTAGGAGACATGATTGCCAGTTTATGTAGAAGTCCAGTAGACCGATCCGCTGATCATATTGACCGACTGGATCGTGTTAGATGCTGCAGTATACCATTTCCATGGCAAGAGGGCTATGACTATGTTCAGGAAAATTGGAGGGAATCTATGAACACAGATTCTACCTGGTCATTGTGTAAACCTGGGTATTTCCTCACTGGTCTGTATAGGTCAGTATATAAGTTATACCTCAGCGACATCGAGGAAGGACGCTGCACCAGACCACGTAACCATCCGGCTAAGTATGGACACTGCAACGATGTTGACATCTCGGATTGTTTTGAGAAGTTTAATTGTTGCTCTTGCACAGAGGGAAGATTCATTGTTGGTCTGTATCGTGGTAATTGTAAAGACCTGCGATGCTTGGACAAGCTACGCTGCTGCACGCTGGCGGCTGAGTCACCGCATTAAACAAAAAGATCAATGATCGAAAGCAGAGGCACTATGTTTTTGGATTCAATAAATGCAAATATATACATACATACATGATATTGGACTGACCATTAATAAATTGTTAAAACTTCATTGCTTTAAAAGTTGTCTTTATCTATATACTAAGCGCCCCGGCCAGGCCCGGCACTGGCCTCTGTGAAAAACCTATCTGTAAAGGACCACGACATGTGTGTTAAGTAAGCATATCCACGGCATTACCCAACCTAACCACAACCAACTAAAACCAAAACACACAAAAAACCCGCAAACAAACACAAACACAAAACCCACGCAAACACAAGCACAATGAAAACACAAACACACAAAACAAACCCCAAAAAAAAACCCATTTCCAAGCATAAACTCAACGACAAACGCAAACTCAACCCAAACACAAATAAAACAAAAACTCAAACCTAAAAGCAAAGTGCTCACAGTCTAGCCCGGGGCGCCAAATCGCACCATGCTGGGGCGCAGGCGGAATCACCTGTTTCAGCTTAGTAAACGACTGTTGTACCCAAACGCATTCATAGCCTTTTGCACTCACTTAAACGAACTTAGGCACCATAGCGAACACGGGAAGGCCCGGGAGCGCCAAATAGCGCCCTGTCGGGGTGCCGGGGGACGCCCGGATGTGATTCACTTAAAAACTATAATAGCTTTTTTTATCCATACTTTATCCACTGTTTAAAACGAAATTATGCACCTTAGCATAGCCAAGGGCGCCAAATCGAACCGTGCAGAGGCGCTTGCGAGCGAGCTGTTTCAATTTAGTGAACAATTAAAATACCACATGTTTATCCGCAAACGAAAGAAGTAAAGATATAGCAGCTGGCTTCTTAACTGTTATTGATTTTTTTTTTAAAATAATTAGTAAACAGTACATTCAGTGCATAAACAGTGCATAAACAAAAATAATAAGACAGTAACTAAATCACCTACCACATTGTACTTGATCAATCCGTGCTAGTTATGTAAGTATTTTTTTCCCGACATCAAAACAAAATAATAACAAGTATTTTTTTCCTCCGATATATGTTTTTTTATAAAGGGAAATAATTGTGTTTTCCTAATTTATCCATGGACGTAATCAGTGCTAAAGAACTAAATGTAAATAATTTTCAGACATAATTTAAATATGTGGAAAAGTTGATATATTTAAAAAAATATGTTTTTTGAACATGCCAGCAATTACGATAATAAGTTTGAAAAATGAAAATTGTTTTACAGAACCTTCAATATGAATTTTTAAAATCACGAATTTAAACGGTCATCATTTTAGCCGTAGCGCCGGCTGAATTGCAAGCTTCATTGTAGTGAACGACTGTAATACCCTCGCAAAATCGCACACGGAAAGATAGAAGTAAATATAGAGGGCATTTAGGAACTACTTTTAACTGGTATTGATTAATAATGATAGTCAGTAAACAAAAACATACCTCCTCACCTTACGGCAGAAAATGTTTGTGTGTCCTAAATTATCAAAAAAAAAAAAAAGAAAATTGAGTTGATATTGGTGTTACAAAATCAAACAACCCATTAATATCGTAAACTTTATTGCAAGGTACCGTGTCAGACAGGAGAAAAACGGAAAGGAAAAAACGACAATAGATAGATTCAATGACAAATATTCTCTGGACAAATCATCCAGATGATATATATATATATATATCAAGACACATAATCTCAAGGACAAATGATCCACAGACAAAAGATTTCATGATAAAATATATCAGACAATATCTCACAGCAAAATTTGTATAGTATTTGATATCATTTTGGTTTTATTTTAAAAGTTTGCAAAAAATTGATTGTCTAAATGGTTTAGTGAGAAAAGATTTGTGGCATAGTTTCGTCACATTGCCTTTAACATATTAACAGGGGCCGCAACAAAATAAATTGTTAAATTGTTTAATCATCCCACTGACTGGTAAACCATGGTATGTGTTAAATTTAAATCATCGCAGATGGGTATCTGCTCTTTTAAAAAGTCAGATTGTTGCTGGACAACAGCAGGCTAGCATTGATTATGCAATTAAAACACCAATGTCACATTACGAACCTTTAAAACAAAATCTTTCTTTTTGGAAAAAGTTTTGACTATAATTCGGTTAACGTATCATCATTTTATTTGTTTTATGCATTTTTATATCTAAAACTTTTATACAAAGTGCTATTAACAAAAAAAAGTTAACATAGTCTTCTGGTCATAAATTAAGTAGGCCAACATAAAATCCGTTTGACAACAAATACAAAAATGTTAAAATCAACTAAGAGAATCATAGTTACTTGAATATTTTACTTTAAGATAATTTGTCTGAGACATTTTGTCTTAGATCATTTGTCATGAAATAATTTGTCTTGTCAACCATTGGTGACATCAAGGATTTGTCTCAGAACTTATCAACGTGGACGAAGAAATATAAAGTCAACAGTAAGACACCAATAAGGGTTAAAAAACAAATTTCACTTTCGTGGTCGAGTTCGATATTAATTCTATACAGACGGTATTAGTCATATGATCTGGTTCAGTGAATAGGAAAAATACGTCATTTAAAGTCATTAACGTGTGACACAGCGTCAGCCTCGCTAAACATAGCACAATGTGTGAGGGTCGCGGTTGTTTCAATAGACAGGTTGTTGTAGCGGTTGGCTAACACTTACTAGGATATTCCTTGTTACAGAGTAATTTGAAAGTAAGCTACACACTTTATAATGTATTCTCTTACTTTCCTCTTGAGAAGTTTGATGTCAGTGACGAAATGTTCTTAAAATAGTATTTTTTTTATGTTGTCCTATATTGTATAATCTTGCTTTGGTCAATTTAATCACATATTGCAATTTAATAACACTTTATGCATTTTTTTAAAAGTAAGATAAAATATACACGACAAACCAAAGTAAAACACATATTAGGATGTGCTTTTTTATTCTGTCAGTAAATTAAATAAAGTTGAAATTTACATTTAGAAGGGTGCGCGGACCTTGGACCACAGGTGCTTTGACCATAGGGGCTTTGACCATAGGGTCTTTGACCATAGGGGCTTTGACCATAGGGTCTTTGACCATAGGGGCTTTGACCATAGGGGCTTTGACCATAGGGGCTTTGACCATAGGGTCTTTGACCATAGGGGGTTTGACCATAGGGGGTTTGACCACAACGTGGATTTGACCATGTGATTTGACCATAGGGGGTTTGATCATAGGGGGTTTGACCATAGGGGGTTTGACCACAGCGGGGCTATGACCATAGGGGCTTTGACCATAGCGGTGGTTTGACCATAGGGGGTTTGACCACAGGTGTTTTCTCGGCAGGGGGTCTTTGATCACAAGTTTGTCCAATGCTGTCCATATGGTAAGGATTTATTTTAAAAGTTGCTAAATTATATTTTAAATTGCGACATGAAGTAATAACATGTTAAATTATCATGTATAAATACAAGTTTTGTATCATTCATTTTGTTTCCTTTATATATGCTATGTATTTTCAAGTACATCTACATTATGTACTTGTGAAACTTGTTATATGTCTAGTTTTTTGTGTTCCATTTACATTTAAAATAAATCTATGAGGCCTAGCTAGCACCAGCCTTTATGTGGAGACTAGTTCTTGACTTTTTTAAATACATGTTAATTTCTATTAACGTACTCTCAGGAATCATGTATCTTCTTCTTCTTCTTCGTTCTTAATTTTTTAGTGTTGGGAGGCATCGAGCCTTATCTGTTGAACTCGAGCCTTTTTTCGAATTTATCAACCATGAGCTTTTGCCGACTCGACCATGCTTCCATCACAATTAAGGATTACGTGTCACTGGTTATGCGCCATTGAGGCCATTGACTCCGATTTCAGCCTGCTTTGTCCAACCAAGAACAAACTACAAGGCAGCAGTTGTTTGATTTTGGAGTTGTCTCTCCTAGAAGAGTGGCTGTCCCCAGCTATCGAGCCTCATCTGCCCGAGGGTTCGAACTCGAGACTTTTATGGTTTAGCCACCATGAGCTTTAACGACTCGACCACTCCGACCGCGAAACATGTATAAAATCGTATTAATTGTGTCATACATTTAAATAAAACAACAATTAATAATTTTTATTTTAAAATCTATATATTATGGTTAGCCCCCCTCTGTGGTCAAAGCCCTATGGTCAAACCCCCTATGGTCAACCCCCTATGGTCAAAGCACCTAGGACCCTTAGAAGGCATACCTTTTACCATTTTTGTTTTTTTCTCCCTGTTGGCAATCACAAATGTCAGATGTGTTATAGAGGAAAAGCTGCTAGACAACAAACTATTAATGGATTTACTAAGAATTCAGGTCACAAGGATTTTATACATCTAAAGGATTATAATATCAATGGTCTTCCCTCACGTTAACATGACAATGACCTCATGTTTGAGGCAATCAAAACATTGCAGCCCTTAATGTCCAGGTAAAGACTAAATTCACCAGTCTAGAGAGACCAGAGTTTTACCCAGGCATATCCATTTTATAATGACAGAGGACGTCACGTGATGAGGTTAAGGACCGGAAGAGTCTGCCAGATTTTCAAGTCCACAGAAGGAGATGGAACTTGTCACTGTGCCAAGTGTCAAGGCAAGATGTGTTTAAGTTTTTCATGATAGTAAAAGTCCATTGTTCATTCTAGATAGATGGGAGTTGGTTAATGCATTCATTGAGGGCGACTGGTGTTGGTTGCTATACATCGCATGTGACTCGATGAACTGGACAAAATGTGTCTGTGCTTTAATGATCAATGCAGAGAAGTATATAAACAAATACAGGAGATTTGATGATGTGGACAAGTTGACCGTTATAGTGTCACATCCTCATGACTGTCCTAAAAGCGAAGCTTCCATCCGATTGCAACAAGTTTCCTTTACACTTGTTCTCTCCTACAACAAAATATATAAATAGCTACAAGCGTTGGGGGTGAGAAGTTGACCGAATCAAAGTAGACACGTGATGGAATGTTTTGATTAGCAATACACCGTGCCTTGGAATATTAATTGACTTTGGTTTGTAATGGGAAATAACTTTTGATGACATTTTTAGTAGAACAACTTATTACAAAAAGTAATAAAATATATTTA